TCCTCCTCCCCTTCCCCACTCCTGAGCATGTCTGTTGGTGACATACTTATACAGGTTATGTTTAGGAAGCCATGTTGGTGAGACTTCGTGGCTGCAGCTTCTCTGACAAGAGGCCATCATCTCCCTGCAAATTTCCTGATCCTCTGCTCTTGCAACCTTCCCACACTCTCTTCAACAAAGATCCCTGGATCTTAGGCAATGGAGTTCTGTTGTAGCTGTTTCTTTTGGGGCTAGGCTGCACAGACTCTGCATGTTCATTGGTTGTGCTTTTCTGTAATGGTCTTTGTCTGTTGCAAAGATTATTAGATTCTTTGATGATGGTCAAAGAGTTCACTTATCTGTGGGTATGAGGATATATATTTTTACTTCTTTTGATTTTTTTTTAAATACGCAAGACAAATGCTCTATTTAACAGTTGCAGGTCATTCCATGGCCCACGTGGTGAATATCTTGGGCCCAGCTGCTAAGCAATTTGGTGAGTACATCACTGTGTCACACATGGCCTTTTATGTTGCTGATGACAGGGGCTGGTGTCATTCATAAATTCCACATACCCCTGTGAGCACTGTCCCTGTGAACTGGTCCTTTGGTACCCTAGTTAGCTTGATGGACTGCATGAGGCTCGTGGCCTTGATGGTGGCAATCTAGTGGAAAGCATTGCATTTGATTTTTAAAGAGCTTTATAGAAGAAAAAAAAAAGAGGAACCACATCCTTTTAAAATAATAACCATTAAGAGCATATCTGAAGAAATCCAGGAGAGAGATAAGCAAAGATTGAGCACGAGGGTTACAGATCTGGGTTGTCTCAGGTTCGGGGTGGGGTGGGGTGGGGTAAGCATGATGTCCAGATAGTCCCTGCTGTGTATCAACTACTAAGTTTTGCATTTTATGATACCAGGAAAGTAATATTGAGTTTGAATTTTGCCCATTTTCTTGAACTAGTGCTGGCTGTTTGCAGTGAGCCAATAAAACTCCAGATATGTCATTGCTAAATTACAAGGAAGCCAAGTTAATTTCTTAATGCATTTACAAGTGTGATTTAAATCTCAAAATGACAACCATCCAATTTTATCTGAGAGGTTTTTGTTGCTTTTTGCAGGGTTGAAAATGGAACCCCTGGTCGAACCCTGGTCTTCAGGGTGCCAGGCCGGACTACTCCATCACTGAACTACGTTCCTTGCCCCTTAGAATGATCTTTAAAATCATTTCAAATTTCAAAAGCCAGGTGTGGTGGCGCACACCTTTAGTCCCAGCACTAAGGAGACAGAGGTAGGCGGATTTCTGAGTTTGAAGCCAGCTTGGTTTACAGAGCAAGTTCCAGGAGAGCCAAAAATAATAAATAAAATTACCGTTTTCTTTCTTTCTTTCTCTCCCCCCCCCCTCTTCTCTCTGAGACAGGGTTTCTCTGTAGCTTTGCAGGCTGTCCTGGAACTCTCTCTGTAGACTAGCCTGGTCTCAAACTCACAGAGATCCGCCTGTCTCTGCTTCCCAAGTGCTGGGATTAAAGGCGTGCACCACCACTGCGTGGCCAGTTTCCTTGTTTTTGATTTTTGTTTTATGTGCATTAGTGTTTTGCCACGGGTGTCGGGTTCCCCAGAACTGGAATTATAGACAGCTGTGAGCTGCCATGTTGGTGCTGGGAACTGAACCCCAGGTCTTCTGGAAGAGGAGTCAAGGCTCTTAAGCACTGAGCCATCTTTCCAGCTCCTACAGTTTTCTTTACTAGCTCTATGAAATTTGAAATCCAGACAAAACCATGAAGGTTCTACAATTTGTATTGATAAGGGTGACAAGCCTTCTCTATGATTGCTACTGACAGGGTTAGGATGAGTGTGCAAACCGTGACTTCTCATTCAGTGCCTTTTCTAACCTCTAATAAGCAAGCTGTTGGGAAATGTCTCCGTTTCTCTTGCGAGACCAACCATGAACGGCTCCTTGGGGACAGACTGGAGCTAGAAGGCCCTTGCCTGTACTCTGCCTCCTCATACTCCAGTAAGCAGACTGCTTCCGACATTCTAGTCTAGTGAATCAGTAGACCGAAAACATCCATAAACTACATTGCATTATACACATTGCAGCAATGACCCAGTGGTCTTTTGTGGGTCCTTCAATATTACTAAAGGGTTTCATGTTTCCTGCCAACAATTAAGATTGTGCTTTGGCTGGCTCAGTCCTCATTATCTCAGGTTTCCCCTTGGAGGGGAGACTTCAGACACCCAGCACCTATATTAATCTCCGATTTTCTTACAAGTGATGGAGACGAGGAGAGCTGCCTCTACTTGCCAACTGATTGTCATTTCTATTTGATGTGGAAATTAAAAACTGAATACCATATTTAAACCTTATGAAACAACAATTGCTTTTGTTGTTGTTTTGGTTTAGTGAGACAGGGTTCTTCTCTATCTCTATCTCTATCTCTATCTCTATCTCTATCTCTATCTATATCTATATATATCCCTGGCTGTTCTGGAACTTACTTGGTAGACCAGGCTGACCTCAAATTTAGCAAGATCTGCCTGCCTCTGCCCCCTGGGTGCTGGGATTAAAGGCTAAATAATTCCTTAATACCCACTCTATTTTTTACTTTCCTCCAGTTGTCTCAAAGATGTCTTTTATAATTTGTTTGAATCACTACCCAAGAGGAATTAACACATTGCATTTACCACTACTCGTGTTTAATTGCAAATGCTGCTTTTTAAAAGATCCTGCAACTCTGACTTCATTATTGCAGAGCCATTTTCCAATGTGGTTGTGTCAAATCCTATCCTATAGTTTGAGATTCATTTCTTCTCCCCCTTTTGATTATTGCCAGACATGTTGTTGCCTATCTACTGATAAGCCACTTTTCTGAGAAGAAACATGAGCATCTTCATCAAATATTGGGCAGTCAAGAGCTTCAGAAAAAACACTTTGTATTCACGGGAGATATAATATGCTTCTACCAGGCCTGAAAGTCACATTCTTGGTGCTCAAGCGTGCCAGGAACATCTTATTGCATACCTGTGGCTTTTGTGATGGTAGATCAAATCCAGGTTCCCCGAATGTTAACCACAGGCTTTCCCAACGTACTATCGATCCCAGCCCTCTACTATGTATTAATGAAAGAATAAAGATGACAGATAATTATTAGCTGCTTACAATTTCCTGGGGTGTGACTAATACTGATGTTTTCTTTCCTCCTGTGAAAATCCTTTGAGACCAGACATTAGTGCAACACAGAAATTCCCTGTAAACTACTTTTCTCCCTTCTGAGTATCTTCTTACCTGGCAGGCTATTTGCTCTGATGAGGTCATAATGCTTAGTTTGTGGAGGTTTTTTGTTTGTTTCTCTATGCAGCCCTGGCTGTCCTGGAATTTGCTCTGTAGACCAGGCTGGCTTCAGAATCACAGAGATCTGCCTGCCTCTGATTCCCGAGTGCTGGGATTATTGGCATGTGCCATTACAGCCCAGGTGTGAGTCATCGTTTGTTGCTTACAGCTTTAGGAAGAATCAGCTCTTAAGCAAAATGAACATTAGCTGGCAGAAAGCTGAGGGCACAGGGACAAAGATCTCTGGAAGGAATAGTTGGCAACCTTTTCTATCAGTTTACCCCTTTCACTGGGCTATATGGGCTTTATTCTATGTTGTAACGGTGACGACTCAACTAAACGGATGCTTGATGTCCTTGGCTGATTTCCAAGTCATGCAAACATTTCTAGTAATACAGTGACGTCTTAAAGAGGGAATAAAACAAACAAACAACCCCCCCCAAAAAAAACCAAAAAAAACTTCCCTCGTTGGTGAAGAAAAGCTGTGTTGAATATTATGCCATAGAATAACTGGCATAATTTTCATTTTTGGAACACATTTCCTTGCGGATGTTCCCAGAGAACATCGTGATCTTTCCTAAGTGTGAACTGTGATATTCTACACTGCCATTATATTTATATCTATCGGAGAGAAATGTCTAAAAAAGATGGCAAGTCAATAAAAATAAAGGTTTAAACGTTCGGGTAAAAGTTAAAGCCATCTACTCAACGTGTCAGCCTCCTTGATTCTTTTAGAGATAGGACACGAGGTGCAAGCTTTTGCCTTCCATTTTCCTCTTAGAAACCAAATGACATCTTCGGTTCCGGAAGAGCTTTAAAAATGTGACTTCTGATAAATGTTGGCAGAACTGGTACATTCCTAGAATAAATTCTGTATGCTCAGCGTTTCCTGCCCAAATTCATTCATAGGTTGGCTGCTCACAAAACTGCCCACCACAAAATTGGCTGAAGAGGAAATGTAGGCGTGGCACAACGTGAGCTACCATGTTGAGAATTCTGGGCTGGAGTCAAATCGCTAATCAGGTTAGACTGATATAGCAACGGCTACTATGACTTTACATGGACTTTACAATTTAGAAGGTTGGGTAATGGAGCCAGAAAGTCGCACGCAAGAGAAAACATTTATTTTTTTCTCCTTCCTTTCCCAGCACATCTCAACACGAAAAAAATCACAGTTGGTCTTGCCTCTCTGAGTTTTCATTCTGTCCTATAAGGAAACCTGTGCCTCTCTGTCCCCCCCCAAAAAAAAAAAATTAGGAAAAGCCTCCCGGGTCTGCAAAGACGAGAAAGCTTTTTCCTCCAGGCCAAGTTCTATCTGGCTCGGAAGAAGAGCGGTAGGTGTAGAAAACACACACGAAGGGGGGGGGGGGGGCGCGGCTAAAAAAACCAAAACAAAACTACACCTGTAGCTAGGAAAACCAGAGAGAGACCAAAAGGGTAAACAAAAACAAAACAAAAAGAACCAAAAAGCCCGCGCGCGCATCCGGAAGGCTTCGTGACCGACCTCGCGCGTACTGCCGCGGTTCGAGCCCGAGCCGCGCCTGGGCCGGGAGTGAGGGTGGGCCAGCGTGTACGCTGCCTGGGATGCGGGGTACCCCAAAGCGCCCCGCCCCGCCCACCCCGCCCCGCCCCGCCCCGCCCCCGGGCGCCCGCGCGCCAGCCAATGGGACGCGCGGGCCGCCTCCCGTCGGCGGCCCCGCCCCCGTGCCCGGGATGTTGGGCCCCCGCGGCGTGACGCGAGCACGGCGGCTCCGCCCCCTGCGTCTCTGGCCTCGCTGGCCTTGGGGGGATGGTTTCATCATGGCGTCAATGCAGGTGAGCGGGGCTGCTGCAGCGGGGCGGGCGTGGGGGCCGCCGGGACCCGGGGCGAGCGTCGGCGCGGGGGCGGCGTCCGGGGCCGCGGAGGGGGGGCCCGGCTGCCGAGCCGGGCGGCCTGCCCTGGCCTGGGGGCGTCGGGGCTCCAGCGGCCGGAGCGGACCGGAGCGGAGCGGACCGGAGCGGAGCGGACCGGGGCGGGCGGAGCGGGCGGAGCGCGGCGGGGGTGTCGGCCGGCGGCGGCCGCGGGGAAGAAAGGGCGGAGTTGGGCGTGCGCTCCCCGCTCCCCGCGCGGCCACGGCGGCTGCGTGGCTCCCCGGCCCCGGGGGAGATGCTTTCCTCGCTCCCGTCTCCCCGGCCGGGTGGAAACAGCTGTGCCCGCCGCCGCGCGAGCGGCCCGGCACCGGGCAGAGCGCCGGGGGCCGCCCGGGAGCGCCTCGCCGGCCACGGCCGCTTGCCCACGGCGCCCCGCGGCCTCGGCCCGGCCTCCCACGCGCAGCCTCGGAGCGGAGCGCGCGGCCGGCCCCTGCTGGCTCCTCTGCCCCGGCCCGTCTGCACCCGTGGCCCCGCGGGTGCCTCCTCCTCCCGCCGCCGCTGTCAGCCCGCACTCCCGGGCACTCCCCGGCAGCCCACGTCTCCCTCCTTGGAAGCAGCGCCCTTCGCCCGCGTCCCCAGCGTCCCGTGCCACCCAGGGTGCTAGCTCGGGGGCCTGCTAGCTCCTCGGCCTCGGGCGGGGGGGGGAAACTCGCTCTTAATATATACATTTTTCCCCCTTAGGATGCCCCACCCTTGCGGACTCGGTAAGGCTCTGCCGTCCTTCCCCCAGACCTTTAAAACCTTAGTTTGGTAGAAGGCGCCTGTTAACCCGTGTCCTCTCTTTCTGGCTTGATGGTGCTTTTCTTGCCTTCCAACTTAATGTACTCGTTTTTTTTTTTTTTTTTTTTTCACCTTCCAAATGCAAGAGAAAAAAAAAAAATTTCTTTTCCTAAGCAAAGATGGCAACCACAGTTGTAGTTGCTAGAGATTGCATTATTGCATTATCTATAGCTGGCGTTTAATTTACAGATGGTGTTAGCGGTGTTAAAGCACACAGGGAGAGAGGGTAGAACTCTTGTAGAGTACCAGCAGAATGCCTTTTGGAGTTTTAACACCCTCTTGAGTAAAGAGAGAAACCACATTTTTTTTTTCCTTAGAATTTTTGGCTTTTGTTTCTAGAAGAATAAGCAAGACCCCGTTGTCGGCGTTTCTCTGTGCTGGAAATGTTTCTCATTCCTGCACACTGTGTCTTCCAACCTGCTTTCCTTAACAATACTACGCGTTTGCTTGCGTGTCCCTCCGGCCTCTCCTGCAGAACAATAAAACTGCAAGTAACATTTCGAGTTGAAGAGATGTCACGAAATGGTGCAGAAAAAACAAGAACAATTTCAGGAAACGTTATACTTTACACTCTCCCCAGAGATGTTAGAGAAGTTTCGTCATCTGAGGCAAAAAAAAAAAAAAAAAAACAAAAAAACCGGAACCGTGGAGCACCAGTTGGACAGCAGATGGGCTATATATGATTGCTTTAACATTTTTATCTGTATTAAGACGTTGTTGATGACCTTTGGAAGATGAGCTGTTTTACGATACAGGCATGATTTAAGACTAAAAATAAAGATTAAAATCCATATACTTGGGATTATATTTGCCTTTGGCAGGAGAGCTGCTTCACTTTTACTACACTTAGGGTATTTGGAAAAAGTGTATATATGAGAGGGATGATATTTTTGGTATCCACTGTCTTCAACGGTGGGGAAAATGCTTTTTTATGTCTGATCTGAGCCTCAACCACTGCCTTCGGCTGTAGTGCCAGGGTTTTGTTCCTTTGTCTTCTGAGGAGTGTGGGGAACTGACCCTTTCTGTTTTAGTTAAGCTTAAATCTTGACCTCCAGTATGTATTTCAAAACGTGTAATAATTTTTTTCAGGAAATAGCATTTTGAGCAAGATTTATTTTTACTGTGTGTGTTCTGTCTGTGTGGGTGGGTATGTGCATGGGAATGCAGGCGCCTGTGTAGGTCATTTCTGATTGACTGGAGCTGGAGTTATAATAAGTGCTTTCAAGGTGCCTGATGTGAGTGCTGGGAACTGAACCAGGGTCCTCTGAAAGAGTAGTTCTTGCTCTTAACCACTGAGCTGTCTTTCCAGCTCCATAGCAGACTCTTTGAAGGACGCTTTGGTGTGCTTTTTATTTCTGTTATCTTTGCACCAAGTTTATTTCCCGACCATTTTGGCACAAGTTAGCTCTTTTCAAAATAACTTAAACACAACACTGTAAGTGAGCAAATGTGTTCATTAGCTCAGCAAATATTTTTAGATAAGATTTCCATATCTTACTACAGGGCATATTATTATTGCTGAAGAGGAAATTACTTATGCTGCAGTCGGAGCTGTGTTTTAAGAACCAGCCATACTGTGCCCATATAGTGTGGAATTCGGTCACTCAATAGCAAAGGGATAATTTTTATATGCAGTAAAACCAAGTTAGGGCAGTCTTTCAGTTTCTTACTAGAGAATATGAAGTTTAAAGCTGAGGCTATAATTGCTTGCCTACCTATGCATGCATCTGTCCGTCCGTCCGTCCATCCATCCATCAGGTTTGGTGTCCTGGAACTCACTCTGTAGACATGAGTTAGTCTGGCCTCTAACTCAGCTATCTGCCTATCTCTACCACACAGGTGCTGGGATTTAAGGTGTGTGCCACCACTGCCTAGGTTGCTTTTCTGTGTTTTACCCTTTTTTTTTTTTTTTTTTAACTGTATAGCCTGGGCTGGCAACACATTTGAGATCTTCCTGTCTGGGTCTCCTGAGAGCTGGGATTACAGGTGTGCTCCACTATGCCTGGCTTGGCTGTCATACGTTCTGGCAATACTTCTCAACTTCCTTCATACACAAAAATAGTTTTTGATGGTATGCTAAGATAGATGCTGTTGGAGTCTGGAAGCACCTATCCAGGGAGCTATGCTTGAACTATCGAGTCTGGAAGCAGGACCTTCATTCTGGTGCCCATGTCCTGTGGGGAAGCTGCTGTTGCTAGCATTCATCAATGTGGAGCTCAGCGAGATGCATTTCACATGTGGATGATTCTTGCCCATTTTTGCTTCCCCTCCCCCTCCTACTAGTTCTTTTTAAAATGAAGTCAGAAATCACCAGTTAAGATTCCAAGATGATATTTTAAGAACACTTTCTTTAAAACAATTACATATATATATTTTATGTGTATGGGTGTTTTGCCTGACATGTATGTCTGTGTACCACATGCATGCCTGTGTCTGATGAGCAGGGGACATTAGTTCCTCTGAACTGGAGTTACGATTGAGCCGCCATGTGAGTCCTGGGACTGGACCCTGGGTTGTCTGGAAGTACTCTTTTAACTGCTCAGCCATCTCTTCAGCCCTAAGAACTCATTTTTTTGGTTTGGTTTGTTTTTTGTTTTTTTGTTTTTTTTTCCCAGATGGGGTTTCTCTGTGACAGCTCTGGTTGTCCTGGAACTAACTAGCTCTGTAGACCAGGCTGGCCTCAAAAGAGATCCTCCTGCCTCTGCCTCCTGAGTGCTGGGATTAAAGGCACGCTCTACCACAGCCTGGTGAAATACTTAGTTTGACTTTCATACATATTTTCCAAATTTAGTATTTAGCCATTTTTTTTTTCAGATTTCTTTTAAAATAGAAGTTTCAAATTTTACCAGATTGAAGCTGTCCATGGTAGAGCAAATCTTTAATCCTAGCACTTGGGAGGCAGAGGCAGGTAGATTTCTGTGAATTTGAGGCCAGCCTGGTCTACAGAGTGAGTTCCAGGACAGCCAGGGATACATAGTGAGATCCTGTCTTAAGTTTTCTTTTTAGTTTGATTGGGACAAGGTGACTGAGTAGGTAAGGCAATGAACTGCTAAAATTTATCTAGTGGTTTTCCTAATTTGACCCTTCTATGTCTATAGTCTTAGGAATTTAGTACATCATAGCTGATGCTTGTCAGCTCTAAATAAAGGAATTGCATTCTTTGTGGACCCTCCTCCCTCCCCTCCCTTCTCTTCCCTCCCTCCCTCCCTCCCTCACCCATTTCCTCTTTGTGATAAGGTCTTACCATGTAACCATGGCTGTCTCGGAATTGGTTGTATAGAATCGAGCTCACAGATGTTTCTGCCTCTGCTTCCCAAGTGCTGGAATCAACGGTGTTCACTAACACCAACATCCCTGTGTGTTCATCCTCTGTCACTCAGATGGATCTTGTTTGTTCACAGCACTTTGTTCAAGTTAGTGGCTACAGTGACGGAGAGAAGTAGCATTTGGGCTCTTACAATAGTGTCACAGTAATCTGGTTGCCTTGACAGTTAGATGCAACCTTCCTATTTGTTGATGTCATAGTTAAGGTTTTAGCATTGTCATCTTGGATCCTAAAGCTTATTGACTATTGGGGAACCTGAATTCTGATATCTGAGTTTTGCTGAATTCTTTGTAATAGGGTAGCCAGAGGTGTCAGAGCAAGGGACTAGGGAATCTACTTAGTGTAGAACTGAGAGTATTCTGTGTAAAAAACATAAGTGATCAAATGCATAAAATGATGGTAATCCTGTCCTTTTTTATTTTTTTATTTTTGCGTTCTATCACAGGTTTTATGGGCCCTCTTATATCTTTATCTTGGAGTGTATTGATTTTTAGCCCTTCAAGCTTCCTTCCCCAATGGTTCTCCATGAAAGCAGGAAAAAGTACTTTTATCTTTTAAATGTGGACAAAGTTTGTGAGTATAATAAAGATTTGTTCATCACTTGCCACTTCCCATGAATAACAAATTCTGCTTTAGTTAATTCTATTTCAGGGAAATCTGTTAGGCAGTTTTTCAGTGTCAAGGTTGAATGGCTACACAGGAACACTTTAAAATTTAGATTCACATTATGTAGTCCAGAATGTTGTTCATTTCTTGTTATGTGTTTGTAAAACTTTTCTTGAAGTACTTTTGTATTTCT